ACGGTTCTGCACATTGTCTTTTACAATTTTTTCTTCTCTCATCTATCTATCTCTATATATCTCTCTTGTTTTCATGACTAGTAGCACAATGAAGGGACAATAATAAACGAGGCGGCGGCGGGGTCTGTGGTGGTTTAGGCGGCGGCGGCAGGGGCTGTGGTTGTCGAGACAGGGGTGAGGGGTTGTGATTATTGAGGCGGCGGCGGGCTATGCTGCTATGGTGGTCGAGGCAGCGGGGGTTGTGCCGTTGTGGTGGTCGAGGCGGGGTGAGGGGTTGTGATTGTCGAGGCGACGACGGCGGGCTATGCTGCTATGGTGGTCGAGGCGGCGGGGGCTGTGCCGCGTGGTGGTCGAGGCGGCGACGGGATGTGGTGGTTGAGGCAGCGGCGTGGATGTGATTATGGCGGAGATTTGATGGAAAACATATATTTTTTTTTACCATTTGAATATGATTTTCACGATCTTCAAGAGATTGTGTTTGATTTGTGTTCAAAGTGGTAGATCTAGGTTTTCCCAAAGTTGGTAGGTGACTACGGGTTGAGACGGCTGCAGATGTTGGCTATTAGGGTTTGACGGCTGATGCTTTGAGGATGCTAGGGTTTGGTCGTACAACGTAGTATACCATAGTACACCGTAGAATACCATGGTACACCTTAATTAATATACCATAGTACACTGTAGTATTAATATACCATAGTACACTGTAGTCTACTACAGTATTGACAACAACAAAAAAAAAACGAAAATAGTCTGTAGAATAAAATATTTTTTTGATAGTTGTGTGTAAACCATAGTACAACATAGTATATCATAGTATTTTAAAAATCTGCTGAATTATTTAACGAAACCCGAAATTCGAAAAATAAGGAAAAAATATTGTTTTATAATAATGTAAAAAGTGCTAGAGTGAAAATTGAAAAAAGAAAGATGAGTGAAAGGGTATTTTCGGAATGAATTTAATAAAGGATGTGAAGCAAATGTTTAGTTGAACTTGTCATTTAGTTCAAATTAATTTTGTCGCCAGGGACCTATATCTTAAGACCCCTTATTATTATTATGATTATTATTATTATTATTATTATTATTATTATTATTATTATTATTATTATTATTATTATTATTATTATTATTATTATTATTATTATTATTATTATTATTATTATTATTATTATTATTATTATTATTATTATTAAACTAAAAAATAAAAAATAAAAAATTTAAAGTCCCCACTCCACTAGTGGAACGAATAGCTTGCAGTTTCACCGCATTAAATGGCTATAAATGTTCAAAAAACTAATCGTGCAGTGTAATGCAGTTAGTTCAGCTATCCATAACAAATTACATTCTTAATTAAGAAAAATATTATTATTTTTTCTTTAAAAAAATCGTAATAATTCGAGACAGTCGCTATAAATACGAGCTAGTTTTACACCATTTCCTTCCCACGAATATCTTCGTCTTCAATAAAAGCAACACTTTCGCGCTCTCTCTCTCTCCCTCTTTTTCTCTCTCTAGTCTTCCCAATAGGCATAGTTTCCCGGCCGGATCGGAGGTGCTAGAGAGTCCAATAACTGCAATTATTGTTCCTCGCTTTCTTATTCAGCGCATGAATTACGAGGTAATATAAATATTACATTTATTCTCACACAGTGACGGATACAGCATAGGGCCATGGGGGCCATGACCCCCCATTTCTTAACTCTCTATTATTTTATATAGATATATGATTTTTTATCGTGTAAATTAGTATTAACGGCTCCCTCTCAGAATTTTTTAATGCATTCGGCCCTCCAGACTGTAAATTCTGGCTCCGCTAGTGCTGTTACACACACACACTTGCAATATTTGTATGTATTGGTGCAAATTATTGCATTTTTAGTGGCTAACGGTTTCATCGCCTTTTTCTCATTTTTCGGTTGGCAGTTTGAGGTATAATGTTGCAGAGAAAAATGGCGAGAGCTCCAATAATATTATTGATAGGTGTAATTGTAGCGGTGTGTTACTCCACAGCCATAGCAAATGCAGAAGAGTACATGAAATACAAAGATCCGAAACAACCGATAAACAAGAGAATCAGAGACCTTATGGAAAGAATGACCTTGGAGGAGAAGATCGGCCAAATGACTCAAATCGAACGCACCGTAGCCGCCGACCACGTCCTCAAAAAATACTCTATAGGTACATTACTTATAATTCGATTCTTTTTTTTTCTTTCAATTTCGTTTCGTTTATATATTTATATATATGTATGGCTGGAAATTTGGTCGACAGGTAGTATATTGAGCGGCGGAGGCAGCGTGCCAGCTTCACATGCATCGGCCGAGACGTGGATCGATATGGTTAATCATTTCCAAAAGAACGCGTTAATGCAGCGTCTCGGTATACCGATGATTTACGCTATTGATGCTGTTCATGGCAACAATAATGTTTACAAGGCGACGATTTTCCCCCACAACGTTGGTCTCGGTGCTACAAGGCAAGTATTTAATTATATGTTCTTGCATTTCTTTTTTTTTTTTTTTTTTAAATCTAAATAAATTTAATTTTATAAATTTTCGGCGATTATTATTATTATTATTATTATTCACTTTTTTAATTAACAGAGATCCTGAATTGGTCAAGAGAATCGGAGCTGCAACTGCTCTTGAAGTCAGAGCTACCGGCATTCCTTACGCTTTCGCACCTTGCATTGCGGTAATTTAATTTAATTTAATTACCGCCTCGACATAATTACAATTTAATTTTACTAATCACATATGAATTATATATATATTTTTTAATTATTTAAACAGGTATGCAGAGATCCAAGATGGGGTAGGTGTTACGAGAGCTATAGCGAAGATCCAAAGGTAGTTCGATCAATGACCGAGATTATCCCTGGCTTACAAGGCGATATACCTGCCGGTTCTCCAAAGGGTGTTCCCTATGTCGGAGGCCCGTAAGTTTACTCGATTTTTATTGATTTTTTCTCAATAACTAATTACGATTTATAACTTTTTTCAATTGTTTGTTTGGTTTCAGAGACAAGGTAATGGCATGCGCGAAGCACTACGTTGGTGACGGTGGAACGGTGAAAGGCATAAACGAGAACAACACGATCGCCAGCTGGCATGAATTGCTCGGCATTCATATGCCAGCCTATTACGATTCCGTCATCAAGGGTGTGTCGACCGTCATGGTTTCTTACTCAAGCTGGAACGGTGTTAAAATGCACGCTAATCGCGATTTAATCACCGGATTTCTCAAGAAAGCACAGCGCTTCAGAGTAAATAAAATTGTTACACTTCTCAACTTTAATGATTTCTTTTGTTGTGTCTAAAATTGACTAATACGGATTTCAATATATACTCGATCGTCAGGGATTCGTGATCACGGATTGGCAGGCGATTGACAAAATGACTACCCCGCCTCACGCAAACTATACATACTCGATTGAAACTTCGATTAATGCTGGAATCGATATGGTTTGGTTTATATCTTGTTTTTTCCACGTTTTCGATATGATGAGGTACTTAATTTAATTACTAAAACAATATTAATTAATGCAGGTGATGGTTCCTTACAACTACACGGAGTTCATTGATGGACTAACGTACTTGGTGAATAATAACTTCGTTTCGATGAGCCGAATCGACGATGCTGTCAAGAGGATTCTGAGGGTTAAATTCACAATGGGACTTTTTGAAAATCCAATGGCTGATTACAGCATGGCCAAGCACTTAGGCAGTCAGGTTAGTAATTAAATAAATATATATATATATATATATATATATATATATATATATATATATATATACAGTAAAATCTCGATAAATTAATAACCTCGATTAAATAATTTTTTTTTAATCCCAACTCAAGGACAACGTGCTAAAAACTATTTTCTTATACTAATATTTCGCTGAATTAATAGAATTTGGCTGGTCCCAACGGTATTTACATATATATGGTTTAATTGTATGTATGTATGTATGTATGTATGTATGTATGTATGTATGTTCTAACCAAACTACATTAAACCAATCTTACAGGAAAACAGAGAAGTGGCAAGAGAAGCTGTAAGAAAATCTCTGGTGCTTCTCAAGAACGGCAAATCCGGTGACAAGCCATTGCTCCCGCTTCCCAAGAAAGCATCGAGGATTCTTGTTGCTGGGACCCACGCGAACGATATAGGCAACCAATGTGGCGGTTGGACGATCGAGTGGCACGGGAAGAGCGGCAACACGACAGCTGGCACCACCATCTTGTCCGCAGTGAGGAACGCGGTCGACCCGGAAACCACGGTCTCCTTCAGGGTCGACCCGGATCCGGAATTCGTGAAATCCGGCAAATTTGAGTACGCGGTCGTCGTAGTGGGGGAGGTGCCTTACTCGGAGACGTACGGCGACAACCTTAACTTGACACTACCCGACCCGGGTTACGGTATCATAAACAACGTGTGCTCCTCGGTGAAATGTGTGGTGGTTCTCGTGACGGGTCGACCCGTTGTTATCGAGCCGTATCTTGGGGGTATGGATGCGGTTGTGGCTGCTTGGTTGCCCGGATCGGAAGGACAAGGAGTTGCTGATGTTTTGTTCGGTGACTACGGTTTTACGGGGAAGCTTCCGATCACGTGGTTCAAGAATGTGGATCAGCTTCCGATGAACTTTGGCGATCCGCATTACGACCCGTTGTTTCCCTTCGGATATGGGCTCACCACGGAACCCGTGAAGGCTAATTAATGTTAGGTAGAAAACCTGATTACGAGGTTGTCTGATCTCTTGGTTTTTTTTTTCCGGTTGTGTGTAAGTACATATTATGTGTTAGGCTGTGTCTTCTGTTTTTGTTTGGAATGGGGTTGTAAATGCCCTATGCTGTGTATATATATGTTTTTGAAGCATCAATCAAACTACATATTTTGATATATTGTTGCAACTTGCAAATTTCCAAATTTATAATTTGAAACCCTAATTTAACCCCAAATTCACAAATTTAATAACGTAGACTCCACTGAAGCTGTCGTTGTTGTGGACAGGTGTTGATCCCTTTTTCATTTTCTTTTTTCTTCCTTCGGTAATATTGTTGTGTTGCCCGGCTATATTACCGTGTACGACAACATTATTAAATTTTTTACAGATTCTTTTTCCTTATAGCAATGTTCCTGGGTTGATTGTTAAGTGTATACAATGAACACTTTTAGGCATCCATTTCGGCTATGAATTGAGCACTTATCATTCGTTTATGTGTCATTTAGCTGATATTTCATCCTAATTGCATTTAGGAGGTAGATTCATGCATTTTGCATATTTTATGTAATTTTAGAGCGATATTGTGGTTACAGGGGTGTACATAGCTAAATGGGGACAATCGAGGTGGAAGAATGAGGCAAAAGGCGAGAGACTTGGCGAAGAAGTTACAAGAAAGCAATGAAGAGCTGAAATAGGACTCAACGATCGATCAACTAGAATGCCGAAACCCTAAAAACTAAGAAGTCGTCGATCGATCAGTCAAATCTCATCGAGTGATTGGTGAACACGATGGCTTATATAAATGCGGGTTTAGGTCATATTCTCCATGGAGAGGCGTGAGTATTAATTGGATAAAGGCAGCCAATTAGAATCCCAATTTAGAGTAGATAACTTGTGGAGTCTTCCAAAGAGAATTGGAGATACGAGACGGAGCATCATACGAAGGATTGAAGCGTAATCAGGGTGACGAGTTCTACGAGAGATACTTCGGTTTTATGATTGTTTTTACTATTGTTCTTAATGTTTTTCAGCAGCAACAAACTATCTTTAATTGTTTCTTAGTTAATATGAGTAGTTAGATATTTATCTAGGATATTATCTAATCCTATTTTGGATGTTTTGAACTATATTTTAAACCTTATGCAATAAGTTGAATTCAAATTACTTCATTTGCTTAGACTGATTGTACATATAAAATTGATCACTCTATGTTATGCGAATTTGTTTATAATTATTTGATAATTAATTTTTAGGAATTGGAGTAAAAGTATATGATTCGTATGATTAGCCACTACAAAAGATATAACTAACGTCTATGTTAGTACAAAAAGTGTGTGTATTGTGGAGAGTCAATCTTTAAATTGGAACCAATATTTATTATTGTGGTTTTTATGCAAAGTGCCTGACCAACTAACCACCTTTACTATTTTAGGTTTAAATGTTATATTTTTTTCGCCAATAATCTCATTCATTTAACATGTATTATGATTGATAAGTAAAATGCACAGATCAATTTTTTTTTAAAACTTATTTTGGATAAAATAAAACGAACGAAAACTTTGAACAGTTGGCATACATGTAAAAATACCCAAAAAAAATGTTTTATTGAATCAAAATATACATTTGTTTGTGATTTACTTTCATATTCGCGGAAAATCTTTTGTGCACATAACATTGCTCGTAAAGTTAGTTAAATCGCCCGATTTTGAGTTGATAAATATTGATCCAGACAGATTTACACAGCCCAATGAGGCAAGGCCCAATAGAGTTGGCCCACACTCATGGAGAAGATAAAACCACATGGGACCTGGCCTTATTTACCCATTTCATTGGATCTTTATAAATGACCCAAAACATTGAGCCCACTAGTGCAAGGCCTAGAGAATATAAGGCATTGTGAGTACAGACGAACTAGGAGACCCCGACGAGCTGGAAATGAGCTAAAGATAGCTCACAAGTGCCAAGTGTCGAGCGCCGAGCATCGAGCCCGAGTGACGAGCCAACGAGCGCCCAGCCGACGAGTGCTCAGCTAACGAGCGCTCAGCCAGCGAGCGCCGAGCACCGAGCCGACGAGTGTCGAGCGTCGAGCCGACGAGCGCCGAGCACCAAGAGACGAGCACCGAGTGACGAGCCCGGAGCGACAAACCGACGAACGTCGAGTGCCAAAGTGACGAGTGTCAAGCGATGATCGGTAAGCTGAAGATGCCTACTCATAACTTAGACACTAAGAATAGGAGGTATCTTTCATAACTTAACCACTAAGATTTATAGTCATGAACTTGAAATAATTCTATTAGTCGAATTGGATAAAAGCGATGGCATCCGAAAAGCCTTTCCTATAAATAGAGGGTTCATAAACCTCAAGGTAAGCATTTTTGATCTTAACACACTATTTTCTCTCGAATATATTTATCTCCGAATCTTTGAGGTGTTCTAACTTGGCGTCGGAGTGCTAACGCCGGGAGCACCTCTCCCGGTCCCTTTTGCACGTCCGCGACGAAGAGGCCTAACATGGAACGGACTTAAAGATTCGAGATTCCTCGAAGCGGAAAAACCCAACCTCATCATTGGCGCCGTCTGTGGGAAATCGAGTTGTAAGACGTCGATTTCCAATCATATACAATATCGGAGGTTCTTATTAGTCAGTTCATCATTCTCTGTGGGTCTTATTCTCCTGTGATGAATTTAAAAGATACAGAGCAACTCTGCTTCGGAATACTTATTATTGAGTACACAAGGGCAAGAGTAATTGCATCAAAATTCTCCTTCCCATTTTATTCGTGAAATTCTTGGATTTTGTTCCCAGAAATTGTACCCCTTATTTGCTAACTTTGGAAAAGAAGTCATCCTTTCCATTCTTCCATTCCTCCATTCTTCCAAAATGAAGGACGATGTTCATGACCGAGTGACGTCGTCGCCTTGCTCGAGCGCCCCCTCGTCGCTCCAATTGTACTGATTCCTTGAAGCCCTGCGTATTCACCTCAGGTCTCCGGCCAATACACCTCCGCCGTCGCTAGACGTTTCCTTGAGGCTAGGACTGATGGCATTCTTCGAAGCGACCTCACCGATTGGTTACCTGATAGATGCACGGAGGTTCAGAATCCGAAATTGGCTAACCAAAACGGAAACCCTCAACGTAGAGAAGCCATTTGATAAAAAGTCCCAGAAAGGAGGCTCTCGGCTGGAAACTTTTGCAGCTGAGATCTGGCTGATTTTGTAAAGCTCGGAATTTTTCGGAAGAAACCGACATTTATCATATTCTTCAAAAGGGTTCGACACCATTGGATATTTCCAAAGAGCCTGCTCATGTGTTGTCTTGCTGAGCTCGCACTCACTTCTTGAAACTGAATTCACGAAGACCCAAAGTTCTTCTTGTCACGTGACGAGGTTAGTTCTCATAAAATTATATAAGTCCATCTCGATGTGAAGAAATTTATTTACTCAGGAGGTACCGAAACTTTTAATTATTTCAAAATTAAATGAATTGGTGATATTATATAACATAATTATTGCACAACGGTTTGATAAACTAAAACGCGGACATGGTGATTTATTACACCAAGAATTGGATCCATAGAGCACGATTGATGATAAAACGGGATAATTGTCTGGTATTCATGCGATTTTTTGAATTAGACATCTGTCATTTATGACGTACTCGGTAAGTAACTTCCATAAGACCTAGTTGTCCGCTGTGATTTTTTATAATGGACCTCTTAAAATTAGAACGTATCCGGTTGAAGTTTCTAGACTATGATTTCCAAATTTCCAAAATATGTTTTAATTGAATTTATTTCGTGGAATATTTCGTAGCTTGATTCTTGAGTTGTTATACTACACTCCTCAATATTTTTCCAAAACGAATTTATTTGAACATTGAGGCTGTGAAATGTTTACAAATCAAGTGAATATGAATATTGAGTGAGACCTACTACGTGGGTTTTTGATATGATTTCTAAAATAGATTTTTGAGGGCCTGCTAAACTAAGAGCTAACTTTGGTAAGTCTGATTCTCCATGTGTAATTTTTTAAAATTGGATTTCCTCAAATTCTGTTCACTCCCCAAAATTGAATTAATATTCCCGGGTTGTTACGGACTCGGAGTTTCTGAAAAAAATCTTTTTTCCACAATCAAAACTAAGTTTCTTGGAAGAATCAGTGTTTATCGAAGTAGATATTCTCTAATTCGCTCGAGCTAAAGCTTGAGTTTATTTCTATGAACTTAATAGAGCTTGACTTTATTTATCATTACCTGTTGAAAACACGAACCGGATGAGTTTCTTTGTGCAAGCTCGATTCTCCCATGTCTTTGATTCCTATGCGGATTCCGTAGTGCCCAGAATAGCTCAGTTTGGTGGACTTCTCGAAAGATCCCCGCATCGGCTTACCCGACTGATCTTCTCGATGCTTTCCGCATCGGTCTTATGAAGCTTACGCCTATCTCTCGAGAACGAATCCATGGGATCCCAAGTTTCTCCTAGTCATACTATGAGGTGAATTCTATTTTAATTTTTTGCATGAATCTCCAAGGCAGTAAATGCTCACATGTTGAAAAATATTTTGAGAAATATTATTTACTCGATAAGTGCTGAAGTTTGAACCATTATGACAGAAGATGAATTTGAGATCTTATAACATGTTTATTACTTGATTGCGTTTAAGAGTTAGAATATGGATATTTTTGCTATAGGATTCGGCAAGCAATTCTACTCGCATTGATTTTTCTAAAATTGGATTGTGCACATATTTGGTAAATGTTTACCAAAATTAGTGTTTATGTAACTCGATTATGCGTGACCAATGATTTCTAAATGAATCTTAAAAAGTTGCGATTACACATGAAGCTAATCATAATTTGGATTTTCACTCAATTTCGATGTCGCAAGTAACTATAAGTTTGTGCATGCGCTAATTTCGCAAGAGGTTTGATCTTATTTTGTACAAGCATGTTAGCTCGTCGTTATAACTAATTAAGTGAATTTTGTTTGAGTATCGCATACGATCTGCTAAATTTATTATCAAATTCGTGGGATAAGTGACTCAATCATGACCTTCTTTATTGAACTGAACTCTAGAAGGAGCTCGTTTACTACGAATGAGGCTATCTTATGTGAAAATAACTACCAATGGAGGTCTTATACCTAATGTTTTTCTTGTTTGCGATTCGATCTCTGTT